CAACACCCCAAAATCAATCCGCAAAACGCGGTTCGATGTGCACAATCGGATCGCATAGGTGTGAATACCCATGCGATCCGATTCTAGTGCGGACCCAAAAAAGGGTCCTGCACGTTTTTAGTGTGGGTGCGGTGCAATTAGAGCCATACAAAATGTACGGCTCCAATCGGACCGCACACAAATCACATGTGATTTGCCCAGGAATGCAATGCGGTTCCTGTGCGAATCACATGCAATATACGGCACCGCATATATGTGAACCCGGGCTAAAGCTAAATTCCAGGTAGATATAAACATAAATCTGAATGTATTTTTAATTCAAGATAGAACCTGGCAATCGTGACTTCACTACAAGACTGGTTGAACAGATTTACAAATCCTAAAGTTGATAAAAAAAAGTTTGCTTGTTTGTATTTCAATTCTGTGTTTGTCTGTCAGGTGTTCATCTTTACCAAATACTGTATCTATATTTAAAATAAGAAACAATGAGGTAATGCCTGATATGGGCCTACATCCCTAAATATTGCAAGCAACAAAGAAAAACTCCACACTGGGACTTTAAAGACACCAATACATAAATTCAAATGTTCACATCGATCTTTATTTTGTATCAGAATAAAAAGGTCAGACATTTAGAATATCCAACAGCGCTGTGAGAGTGACTGTAGTTTAAACCTCACTAGGAGGTGTACCTTTATTGCAAAAGAGTCAATGTAGATCACAATGGAAGGCCTGGGCCAGGATGGACAGCCTGTCCGCTCCGATATGGTAGTATAGGACAGTGAGAACTCCTGTCACCAGCGATGGACAACGAGACTGCGGCGTCCCCCCGAATGACATCACCGCGGTCTACGGAGGAAGCGGGAGGGAGAATCCTGCCTTTGACCGCGAGCCGAAGATGGAGGCCAGTAACCTAGACAATGCGTTTCGTGCGCATGCACCTTATCCAGGACTTCTCTAGGACTTCCCCCATCCTCTGGAACTCCCTACCCCAATCCATCAGAATGTCACCTACCCTCCTCACCTTCAGGCGCACCCTGAAAACCCTCCTCTTCAGGGAAGCCTACCCCAACCTCACCTAACACCCGACCTCACCTAACAACTAACCTCCTTCTCTCCTCCCACCACTCCATCCCCCACAGCCACCTCCTCCTGTGCCACCTTCCCCTCCCTCCTAGATTGTAAGCTCGAAAGAGCAGGGCCCTCGAACCCCTCGTGTAGTGTATTGTTACTGTCTTGTCTCATGTTATGTCCCCCTGCTACTGTACAGCGCTGAGCATACCCTTTGGCGCTATATAAATACTGTATAATAATAATAATAATAAAGTCAAGAGACTCTCACAGCGCTGTTTTCTTTGATGCTCTTGGATTCACTACATAGGTGTTTAACACAGCAGCAGTGGGGTGCTCATGTTTCATACGTTTCATGCATTATATTTCCATATATGGATGGCTCTTTACTGCACTTGGATTCATTGACAGTTTAGACCAGGGGTCCTCAAACTACGGCTCGCGGGCCACATGCGGCCCGCCAAGGACATTTATCCGGCTCGCCGGGTGTTTTGTAATATTTGTGATCCACGGCGGTGTAGCAGCAAGATGAGTTCCCCTATGAAGATGTGTGTCCCTGACGCACCTGCGCATGTCACTGTTTTCGGCAGAAGTAGCCGATCGCCGATCAACAACCATAGCACAGAGCTGTCACAGTTAACCCCTTTTCTGCTGCACCACTGATTACACTTACACACGCCACTCATCCCGCGGATCACTAGCCGCCGATGCTCCAGCAAGATGGATCAAAGTATTGGGGAGCATCATGGATCGGAGAGAGGACAGTTACATGGGGGGGTTGTGACATGGGGAAGACACTGACATGTGGGGGGCTAGTGACGTGCTGAGGACAGTGACATGTGTGGGGGTCAGTGACATGTGCTGAGGACAGTGACATGTGTGGGGGTCAGTGACATGGGGGGGCTGTGACATGCAGAGGACAGTGGCATGTGGGGGGCCAGTGACATGTGCTGAGGACAGTGGCATGGGGGGGCTGTGACATGCGGAGGACAGTGACATGTGGGGGGGTCAGTGACATGGGGGGGGCCGTAACATGGGGAAGACACTGACATGTGGGGGGCTAGTGACGTGCTGAGGACAGTGACATGTGTGGGGGTCAGTGAGATGTGCTGAGGACAGTGACATGTGTGGGGGTCAGTGACATGGGGGGGCTGTGACATGCGGAGGACAGTGACATGTGGGGGGCCAGTGACATGTGCTGAGGACAGTGACATGTGTGGGGGTCAGTGACATGGGGGGGCTGTGACATGCGGAGGACAGTGACATGTGGGGGGCCAGTGACATGGGGGGGCTGTGACATGCGGAGGACAGTGACATGTGGGGCGCCAGTGACATGTGCTGAGGACAGTGACATGTATGGGGGGTCAGTGACATGGGGGGGCTGTGACATGCGGAGGACAGTGACATGTGGGGGGCCAGTGACATGTGTGGGGGTCAGTGACATGGGGGGGCTGTGACATGTGGAGGACAGTGACATGTGGGGGGCCAGTGACATGTGTGGGGGTCAGTGACATGGGGGGGCTGTGACATGCGGAGGACAGTGACATGTGGGGGGCCAGTGACACGAGCTGAGGACAGTGATATGTGTGGGGGTCAGTGACATGGGGAAGACACTGACATGTGGGGGGGGTTCAGTGACATGGGGGGCCATAACATGTGAACAAAACTGCGGGTGTCATTAACTTTTTTTTTTAAACTATAGCCCGGTCCTCCAATGGTCTGAGGGACAGTGAACTGGCCCTGTTTAAAAAGTTTGAGGACCCCTGGTTCAGACATTTATAATATCTGTTATATTACATCACCATCATATCATATTAACAGATTAGAGTTTATTATGCAAATCCGACGCGTTTCAGAGTAAACCGAAGTGCTTGTCAGGGAGTGGTGACAAATCATTTTGGTTTTATGTTATGGCTGACAATCATTTTGATTAGACTCATTGGTCATGTGAGTAATTGATATTTATATGTATATAGACAAGATATGTCCCAATTACTGTACATTGTATATGTTTTAACCCCTCGCCCTTCAGAGGATTTACCCCCCTTCCTGACCAGGCCATTTTTTGCATTACGGAGCTGCATTACTTTAACTGACAATTGCACGGCCATGCAGCACTCTACATATAGTAAATAAAATGTATGTCCTTTTTTTCCCACAAACAGAGCTTTCTTTTGGTGGTATTTGATCACCTGTGCGTTATTTATTTTTTGCGCTATAAACAAAAAAGGACCGACAATTTGGAGAAAAAAAACAATATTTTTTCTTTTTGCTATTAAACAATTCCTAAAAAAGAATTTTAAAAATCAAATTTCATCATAAATTTAGGGAAAAATGTATTCTGCGACATGTCTTTGCTAAAACAAAATCCTGATACGTGTATATTAATTGGTTTATCTGAAAGTTCTAGCGTTTACAAATGGCAGTAAAGATACTGGAATTTGTTTTTGTTTTTTTTTACTAGTAATGTCGGCGATCAGTGACTTATAACGGAACTGTGGGACTGCGGCGGTCATTCTGACACTGGGGGGAACTAACTTGGTGTCACTTACATCCCCATTGATACCAATATAGTGATCAGTGCTAATAAAAAGCACTGACACTGGGCAGGAAGGGGTTAATATCTGGGGCGATCTGGTTAGCTGTGTGCTTTTTTTTACTATGGGGGCTGTGTGTGTGCTTTCCACTGTAAGCACACTGCTTTGTATGGCTCTGTATGGCTGTGTGTGGCGGTGGTCAGGGACACTGTAACTGGTGTAGCGGTGATCAGGGACACTGTAACTGGTGTGGTGGTGATCAGGGACACTGTAACTGGTGTAGCGGTGATCAGGGACACTGTAACTGGTGTGGTGGTGATCAGGGACACTGTTAATTTACTCTGAAATGCGTCAAGTTTGCATAATAAACTGTAATCTGTCAATATGATATAATGGTGATGTAATATAACAGCCTTTTCAACATGCTATTCTAAATGTCTGACCTTTTTATTGTGATACAATATAAAGATCGATGTGAACATTTTAATTTATGTATTGGTGCCTTAAGCCTCAGCGGGGAGTTTTTCTCTATTGTTTGCTATATTTTAAAAAAAATTTAGTGCCCCCAGACCTCCCCATGAAAGACAAAGATCAGAGAATCATCCTGTTTGAAAGGTCACTGACTATGTATACCTGACCTGGCTTCTGAGAGCAAGTTAAAGCAGAGCTTCACCCTAAAAGGAAAGTACCGCTTTATGTCCTCCTCCCTCCTACTCTTTTTCTTTTGGAACTTTTTTTGGTGAGAGGGGGGAGTTAGCGGGTGCTAGCTTTGGATTGTAGTAGAGAACAAAAGAAAAGAGCGCACCAACCTTGCGCATTACCTCAGTAAACAGTTCATGAATTTATTGATAAATTATATTCACAAGAATAGCAGTAAAAAAGGCATATAACATCCATAACCAACACAGGGTTAAAAGACACGTGCGAGTTCCATCCGGAAGGGAGATAAACCCTTGGTCAAACTGACGCAAAAGTGACAGAAACACTGACACATAGTGGCAGAATGCCTCCTATGAATAGGAACTGAATCTAAATAGAATATTTCTATCAGTAATCCAGGTGCTCATTGTAGACCTTTTAAGCTCCGAGGAAGAAGGGATCCCCCTTCGAAATGAATCAGCTTGACCAAAAGTTTATCTCCCTTCCGGATGGAACTCGCACGTGTCTTTTAACCCTGTGTTGGTTATGGATGTTTATATGCCTTTTTTGCTGCTACTCTTGTGAGTATAATTTATCAATAAATTCATGAACTGTTTACTGAGGTAATGCGCAAGGTTGGTGCGCTCTTTTCTTTTGTTCTCTACTACAGTCTATATCAAGCTTCCCCAGCTTCGTGTTAGAGCTGCACAACCTTTGATCAGTATTGGATTAACCTTCCTCTGATCTGAGCCTGAGTGCAGGAGGTGCTAGCTTTGGATTGCCTAGGTCAGGGGTGGGCAACTGTGGCCCTCCAGCTGTTGTAGAACTACAAGTCCCATGAGGCTTTGCAAAACTGACAGTTACAAGCATGACTCCCAAAGGCAGAGGCATGATGGGACTTGTAGTTCACCAACAGCTGGAGGGCCATAGTTGCCCACCCTGGCCTAGGTGATTCCAGGTGGATTGCCTAGGTGATTCCACCAAAAGTTCTCCTCACCCTCCCTGTCCAGAGCCTTTTTGGAACACATCACAGGTCCCAGCAGGCTGTGGGACCATTTCCACAGTGCAGCACAGCTGGCACATGCGCAGTGAGAAGCTGACTGTGAAGCCGTAAGAAGTCACAACCATCTTCCCACACTAAACATGTCAGCAACGGTGACCCGAAGACCAGTGAAGGACCAGTGCCGGGTGAGGATGGCACTGGTCCTTGGACAGGTAAGTATCCTTTTTTTTAAAAAGTCAGCAGATACAATATTTTTTAAACAGACTGAGGAATCACTTTAAACACAACATCCTGGTCAGAACAACATTCTAAGTTTGGAGCAACGGCACTTGCAGAGTGCCAAGTAGATTTGCCTTCAGTAAATCTGCCGCATTGTCTTATAAAAACAAAAAACAATAAGTCACAATATACACCGTGTTCCAAATTATTATGCAAATTCTATTTAAGTGTCACAAAGATTAAATATTTTGTTTTTCAGTGTAACTCATGGATGGCATTGTGTGTCAGGGCTCCTTTGATCACTGAAAACAATCTCGGACACCTGTGATAATTAGATTGGCCGGTGAGCCCAATTTAAGGAAAAACTACTAAAGGAGGGTGTTCCACATTATTAAGCAGAGCACCATTTTCAAGCAATATGGGGAACAAAAAGGATCTCTCTGCTGCTGAAAAGAGTGAAATAGTTCAATACCTTGGACGAGGTATGAAAACATTAGATATTTCACGAAAACTTAAGCGTGATCATCGCACTATGAAGAGATTTGTGGCTGATTCAGAGCACAGATGGGTTGGTGCAGATAAAGGCACATTGAGGAAGATTTCTGCCAGATCCATGCATCAGATCAAGAGAGCAGCTGCTAAAATACCATTACATAGCAGCAAACAGATATTTGAAGCTGCTGGTCCTCCAGAGTCTTGCAACTGTGCATAAACCTTCTATTTGGCCACCACTAACCAATGTTCACAAGCAGAAACGGCTGCACTGGGCAGAAAAATACATGAAGACTAATTTTCAAACAGTCCTGTTCACTGATGAGTGCCGTGCAACCCTGGATGGTCCAGATGGATAGAGTAGTGGATGGTGGTTGGTGGATGGCCACCCTGTTCCAACAAGGCTGCGACGTCAGCAAGGCGGTAGTGGAGTCATGTTTTGGGCCGGAATCATGGGAACAGAGCTGATCGGCCCCTTTAGGGTCCCCGAAGGTGTAAAGAATACCTCTGCATCAATGGCTGTTATGGAGATAAAAGGAGAGAAAGTCATGGTGTGGCCTCCATCCTCCCCTGACCTCAATCCTATCGAGAACCTTTGGAGCATCCTCAAGCAAAAGATCAATGAGGCTGGGAGGCAGTTTACATCCAAACAGCAGCTCTGGGAGGCTATTCTGACATCTTGCAAACAAATTCAAGCAGAAACTGTCCAAAAACTCACAAGTTCAATGGATGCAAGACTTGTGAAGCTGCTATCAAATAAGGGGTCCTATGTTACAATGTAACGTGACCTGTTAAAATGTTTAAAAAGTTAAAATGTTGTTAAAAGTTTGATTGAAATAGCTTTTGATTTCAGTAAATATGCTGCAAACACAACAAATGACAATTTTCAGTTCTTTACAACCTATAAAGTGTTTTGAAATTTACAGTGCGTAATAATTTGGAACAGTGCATTGTAAGTTTATGTTTAAAAAAAATCCTGTTATCATTAGGAGGTTTGTTCAATAAAAGTTGAATTGTACTCTTAATGGATGAGAATTATGCTGACTGTTATTTACATAAATTATTTAGGTAAATAAGAAAAATATAATTTGCATAATAATTTGGAACACGGTGTACTGGCTTACAGAATTGCAATATAAATGCTTTTTTATTTTTTAGATGCTAAATCTTTAACAGATGGCAAGGGGGAATCAGGAAAAAAGGGAGGATTACTACAAGGAGTGATGCATACATTTTATCCCTCCGGCAGTAGTCTTCCTTTCTTTCAGATCGCACCCTACAACATGCACCCTATAGAATCTGAGGACATTTTATCTCACAAACTATAACTGGGATACTCACATATTTTTTTTGCAATGCATCGTAACATCCTAACATCCTAGAACAGATATGTGATGTCAGTACAAGGTATATAACAAACAAACAAATTACAGCAAAATGTATAAACAAAAGAACTGGACAAATCCCTGAAAAAAAGCCCTATGAAATTTTATTGACAGCCAAGATACAGGGGTTAGACAAAAAAAATGGAAACACTCCATGACTTGCAGGTGTGAAAGTGATGACGTTTCGCGCTGAAAGCGGATGTGATGTAACATTCTTTTGCTTCCGCTGCATGATGAGACACCTAACAGGTGGGAAACCGCACTTTTGTCATTCACTGCGTGCGCTGCTAGTAATATGGAGTCATGTCAGAGCTTATTGAGCTTCAGAGAGGGCAAACTGTTGGTGCTGCTTAGCCGGTGCCTCTGTGACCGAAGTTGCCAATTTATAGTATTTGCTGTGTGGTGAGGTTCAGTATCAAAGGTTATGATGGCATACATAGTTTCCGTCTGATCAAGATAAGCGCAGTCAACGCGGTCAGCTGACCGAAAGAGACAAAAAGGACATTGCGCAGCATTGTGACCCAGAATAAAAAAAACAACTGCTGCAAAAGTGACTGCAGAGTGTCACAGCAAATAAATTGGCAACCTCGGTCACAGAGGCACCAGCTAAGCGACAAAAGCCGGTCCGTAGAATGTTGGCCAGTTCCTGCTGATCCAGCCGATATTCGGACTGCGTGGAACCAGCGTTAGAATTATTTCAGTTAATTTGTACTTTTCTAAAACACTGGCGTGATACAGTATACTGAACTGAAATGTATTCTATTTGCATCACTTCCTGCCCCAACTGGTGTTCACAATCCGATGTCTCTGGCATAATCACAAAAGATCACATTGTTCATGACCCAATTAACTTTCCAGGATGGAAGCAACCAGAATTACCTGGAGGAAACGTACACAAAAAAGGGAACATGCAAACTTAGGATGGTCTACTTGGTGAGAATTAAAGTGCAACAAGCCATCAGAGCGAACCACTTAATCCAGTCATAGGCGGATTGAAATTCAGCGGGTTCAGCAAAAATCAGCTGAATTTCGATCCATCTATGGACAAGCTCGTTGTCCATCAATCGACTTCAGTACAAGCAGCTTGTCGCTTTTTTGGTTATGGCTGCCACCAGTGATCATTGTATTCTGAAGGCTGGAAACCCTCCCACTGTCAGAATTCAATACAGCAGCGGAAGGGGTGGGGGAAATCAAGCAATTTTCGTTCCTTCAAACCCTGGTTGAAGGAAAGAAAATTGCATGATGTATGGCCTGCCTAAGGCACTGCTGTGCGATGGTTGTTACTAGTGGTGCACCGAAATTAAAATTCTGGACCGAAACCGAAAATTCAGGATGCACTTGGCCAAAAACTGAAACTGAAGTGGACAGTTTTTAAAAAATATGTATTTTTTATATATATATAATGGGTGTTATATTTGACTTTTTAATTAATATCACAAATTTAAATGAATATGAACTTAAAAAATACAATCCAGTAATGTAAAATAAATTTTATTGAAAGTGACACAAAAATTGGACAGAAAAAAAATGAAATATATATGTCAATGGCACACAATTTTGCGTTGAAGTCAATGGGAGGGGGCGTTTTTGCATTGAAGTCAATGGGACGCAATTTTGCATGGAAGTCAATTATCATTATCGGCACCTTTTTTTACTTCTACCGGCAAAACACAGATAACCCTATTTTCGGCCGATATATCGGTGCATCACTAGTTGGTACAGCTACAATCAGAAAAAGACAAACACACAAAAACTGGACAGAAAATACAATTAAATATATACAAAATTAAAAAAATAAAGCACTGAAGTCAATAGGGGGCGCTTTTGCATTGAAGTCAATAGAACGCGATTACATACATCAAAATTCCAGTGTGTTCTCTGCCTATCCTTGGACACTATGGGGGAGGTTTACTAAAACTGAACTGTGCAAAATCTGGTGCAGCTCTGCATAGAAACCAATCAGCTTCCAGGTTTTATTGTCAAAGCTTAATTGAACAAGCTGAAGTGAGAAGCTGATTGGCTGCCATACACAGCTGCATGCTCCAGTTTTAGCAAACCGGTGCACCAGTTTTAGTAAATCTCCCCCTCATAGATATCCTAGACAGACAGCACACCATTAGGTTGCTTACTACATACATTAGCTATTTAATACCCAAAACAATAGGGGTCGGGACTGTTCTTCACAAGTCGTCTTCTCATGCTTCTAAAATTACTCAGAATTGTACAATCAATGACCCTGATTTGGATAAAGATTCGTCGGCACATCATTTACCATTTCACAAGCTGACTCGAACCAGGGCAGCTTTTATCTTCCCGCAGAATTTTCACACATACGTCTAGGAGCAAAGATAAACTAGATTTTCAGCAGACAGAAATTGCCGTGTTTTTATACATTGCATAACTTAGCTAATACTAAACCAAAATGATTTTTAATAAAATATAACAAGAAGAGTTTTTGGCACCTTAGAAATACCTGATTTAACACGCAAAAACGAGGTCCCCCAGCTGCTCACAGACATTAGACGGTGGTATAAAAACAAATGCATATTTCGTTTTGTTTGAATCATGTTTCCAAAAATGAGGGTGCAGCCATGGCATATGCATGTCTGTGCTCAGAGAATATCTCCATCTCACTTTTGGGGAGCCACAGATTCACTGCTTTTCATTAGCAACCTACCTGATACCAAGATGTGCCCCTGAAGCCTCCGTAGGGTGGTCACATACTAACGTTATCAAGTACAATGCAGGGCCAAAAGTCCTGCAATGTACATGACAACACAGATGGTCTGCCCACAACTCAAAGAGAAAAGGAGGGCGCCAGACTCTGCTGGAGCAAGTAA